TATCCTATCTTTTTCAGATAAATGACAAAATTCACAGAATCATGTTTCAAAATGGGAAAGCTCAATTGGGCCTTCAAAAATACCTCTTATCTGTGTTCTTTTGTTAACTCTTCTGCCTTCTTTTGCAGTTATGTCATAAAGTACCCCAGATGCTTCCTTTATCTCGTATCCTTATTTCTAGGACACAGAACTCTATATTTATATTTGAAAGATTTTTGCAGTAAACATTGAATGTATTTTTCCCATGTTATACACTGTGAGGAACCTGTATGTATCTTCCTGTTCTCCATCTTTAATCATATCTCAGCTTCCCTATCTATGTGTTTGGGGGTATAGTTAGATTGTCCTAACAGTGTAGCAGGGAGGGCAGGTGATTTTGTGGAAAGCCTTTTCAGTTGTTAGGTATAGATTGACCCATTGCTTCTTGCTGTTATTTTGGTTATCCTAGTACCAAATGTTAAGCCTTACCTTTTACCACTTAAAGAAGTAGATTGTGATTATGCAGGAACACTTTATTTTTTAAAAATAAAAATAGTATGTGACTTTGTTTTAGAGATGAAGTACAAAGTATAAAATAAAGATCACCTATGAGCTGGGTGCAGGTGGCTCACACCTGTAGTCCTAGCTACTTGGGAGACTGAGATTGGGAGGAACATGATTCAAAGCCAGCCCAGGCAAGTAGTTCTTGATACCCTGTCTCCAGAAAAAATAACCAGAGCAAAATGAACTGGGGATGTAGCCAAAACAGTAGAACACTTGCTCTGTAAGTATGAAGTCCTGAGTTCAAACCCCAGTCCCACAAAAAAAAGATTGTCTTTGGTTTCTCCACTTAGTGAAAAACACTATTAACATTTTATCTTGTACTTTTAGCCTTTTTCAGTGCATTTTTATAATCTTCAGATCAAGCTGTTGCATTTTTCCTTACTTAGTATTGTATTATAACCTTTTTCCTTTGATACAGTATGATGCGTCATTAAGAACTCTTTGTCAATTATATTTTAATGGCTTTGCAGAATTTTGTTATTGGAATCTACCGTATTTGTATTTAACCATTCTCCAAAAGTTGGGCTTTTAGTTTACTTCCAGTTTTTGCCATTTAAAAATACTGCTATTACAATACTTTTCTTCATAATTCCTTGACTGAGTTTTCATTTATTTCCTTCAATTAATCAAATTTTAGAAGTAGGATTACTAGAAGGGTAAATCTCAATGTTTTTGGCCAATTCATACACACTTGATAAACTGCTCTTTTAAAATGTTGTACAGTTCATAATTTTATCAATGGGTAGTCCAGTTAATTGTCTCATTTCAAAATCAAGCATTATTTTTTGACTTTGCTAGTTTGAGAGGCCAAAGACAATTTTTCACTTGTATACCAATATTTCTTTGATTTTATTGAGGTTAAACATTTTTTCCCATTTGTTACCATCTTTTAATAGAACATGTGTATTTATTATTCCTTTATCTATTAGGATTTCAGTATTTTGCTTTTATTTAAATTTCTGTGAGCTTTTATTCTATAAATTTTTTCATTTAAGTTTTTTTAGGATTGTTATATATACATTTTTCAAATTTAATTCTGCTGATATTTTCCTTTGTAATTTTCTTCATTGCTTTAAATATAGGAAGTACTTTTGTATCCATAGACTAGAGAGATGTTCGATCAAGTTTTGTTTTTTTCTCTTAGTCTTTATGGATTCTCTTAAATAAATTATTATCTCTCTAGAGTTTAAAGTATAATGTTAGGTTTGAGTAGAAAAATTTTCCCCAAATGCCTAACTAATCATCTTATTTACTTAGTTCCCTCCATTTTGTGATACCACATTAAAATGCATTTAAATTTTGTCATATTAGGCTACTAGAGTAAGATAATATTTTGAAATTGTCTTCTCTATCTTTTTCTCTTTTGACCTATTCTTTTGAGGATTTGCTCATTTGGAATTTGTATTTACTATCCTGCTTCTCTTTTGGCTCTGATTTTTACCCTTCTGTTTTCAATTTTCATTTCTTCACTTTCCAGAATTAAAAAAAAATTGGTCCACATGTAAGTACTTACCAGGCGGCTGCATTGTGACATTCATCATTGTAGTCCCTGAGCCCTTATTAAGATTTCTTAATTTTAAAATTTGAACATTTGTAGATAAGCAAAAGTACAGAGAAGGAAATAAATTAGTCTTACCACTCAAATATACTCCTATAGTATTAAATACTATATGACAGAATTTACTACAAGTTGTATAAAATATGGCATATTTTATGTATATATGTACAAACACTCATGTATAAATATATATTTTAAACATCATATTATTTTTATGTGCTTTTTATTCATAATAATTCCATGTCTTTTTTGTTTGTTAATTTGTTTTTGTAGTGCTGGTGATTGATTGAACCCAGGGCCTTGCACATGCTAGTCAGTCGCTCTACCTCTGAGCTGTATTCCTAGCCCTAATTTCTTGTCTTTAAATATTTTTTGTGACTTAAGTAGATTTTTAAATTACTCTAATTATTCTCTCTGGTCTGTATACTAAGCTGTGAAAGAATATGCTGTGTTTCAAAAGTGATTAAATTTCAGAGCAATATTATGGGCAAAATACCTAACTTATCTCAAAGATGCAAATGTGCATTAAAAAAATGCTATTAGGGATTGAACTCAGGGCTTTGCACTTGCTAGGCAAGAATTATACTACTTGAGCCACCCCTTCAGCCCTTTTTACTTAGTCACTTTTCAGACAGTCTCATGTTTTTGCCTGGGGCTGATCTTAAACTGCTTCCTCCAATTTCTGCCTCCTAAGTTGCTGGAATTATGTGTGTGGCCCTGAAATGTATGTTTTTAAAAGCTGTGTCAGCCACTGCTCAATTGTTTTATGCATGTTGAATAGTAATAACAAGGGACAAATAGACTGTGCATTTCATGTTTTCTAGGAAGCCTAAGTGGTTTTGGCCACTTGATGTCTTGCACTAGCATTAATGCTTATGGACTGATCCTTAGCTATGGATGTGTCAGAAGAAAAAAGGAATCCAGAATTTCTAGGGCAAAAGAAATTAGTTAGATGCCAAATTGTGAGATTGGTGGGTACAAAGTTGAGACAGGCTGAAGTGGACCTGAATCCAAAAAGTAGTTTTAGATATCTCAGCCCAAAACTGGAGGGTACAAATCAAGTTCAGGAAAAGACGGTCGATAGAGAAGAGGTTTGGATGAGAGAGTGGGGATGGTGATGACAGTACATACCTGGAGAGTACAGGTTAGCACTTTAGATTTGCCTGTGTGTGTGAACGAAGCTGCCCTGATTAATAGCCACTAGTCCTTGGAGATCTGAGCAGCATGGCCTCATGCCATGGGAAGAGTCCTTGATGTACATGGTTTGCATCTTCAAATTCTTATGGTCCAGTGAAGTTTAGTTAAATATTAAAGGTTCCTTTGTTAAACTGTGTGGGGAGGAGAAGGGAAATGGACACTTCCAGAAAGTTTTGACAAATGGTAAAACTACTGGAACTTCAGGATGTTGTGTTTGGGGGGAAATGTCTCTTGATTCTTTCTCTGTTGATGAAACTCAGAAGAGAGAACTATATTAGCCAACAAATCATATGGGCAGTTTGCCCAGTGTGGCTGGATACAAGGTTCAGTGAGGCAGTAATGAGAGAGCAAGTTAGAAAGAGCACTTGTACCCAACAAGGAAGACTTTCAGTAGTAAGAGCCTTAGGATTTGGATTTTATCTTGGAAGTATGAAGTTTGCAGCAAAAAGAAGGAGGTACCAAATAAACACTCACTTGTATCTATACTATATTTTTTCACATGTATTTTTTTTTACTTTTTGAATCACATGCATTCCAGTCAAGTGGATTGAAAAACAGATGATTATAATGCAAAACTTACTTTTTATATTATTTTTGGCTTCCAATTCTTTTTTAAAATATACTTTACTTTTGAATTCAAAATTTACTTTTGAATTTTAGAATGCATTAACAGTACAAGGGGGTTTCATTTTATTGGCATAATTCTGTACATATGTACAGTGTACTTTGAACAAATTCACCCTTCCATTATGTTTCCATTTTAAATTGATCTCCATTTATAAAACTGACAGTGTTTTTTATTAAGTCTGTAAACAGAGAATTGAAAACATTCAAAAATAGACGAAGACAATCAGGTTATTTTAGTCTGCTTTCATCCTAATAATCTGGCAAGTTTATTTATTTTCATTTTTCTTTGGTTTAGGTATTTGCATTGTTTTATGAACTGGAGATATGATAATATACTTACATTGTGAGCTCCTGTTGAATATTTTGATTAAGTTAGCTTGAAAAATTCTAATGTTTGGGGCTCTATTTTCTATGTAAGAATTAGTAAACTTCTTAAAAAGATATTGTGAATTTAAAATGTGAAATATCACATGAGGTAAATGTGCACCATGAGAACAGGGACCTTTTTTGTTTATCCCTTCTGTATTCCCAGTACAGGCAGATCTAGGGCTTGACTCACCCTAGGCACAGAATCAATAATTGGGAATAAAAGTGTATAAGTGAATTCTAAACCTTTGGAGTGGTAGTATTCCATGGTTTTTATTTCATGGTTCTTTCTTGACGCTCCTAGAAGTTATCCCATGTGAAATTAAGGTATATTATTACAACATATTGGAAAATCTGGTGACATTTGTCATGAGTGGAAACATTCTAGTTGTAATTCACAAATTAGTACTGAATATATTCTTAACATTTGTGACTTGTATGAATTGTTCAGTTTGGATAACCATTGTTTCTGTAATGGCTTATTATTATGCATTAAAAAACCTAACCAGAATCTCTAAGTGAATGGACTGGATATAAGCCAACTGGGAAGAGCAGGGCTGAGATGCCCATACTGAACAGATGGTAAGGCTCATAAGCTAAGTGGCTCTCTCCTGCACACTTGCTTTGCAGCCTATACTCCTATTTTTTTCTGAAGATGATGACCAATCTCACGTTATCTTGGAAATTCAGATATTATATTTCAGATATTAAATTCTCAAATGTGAAGAGACTACTGTAACATTTAAAAGAATATAAGGCTTTATTAAATGGTAAAATCAGTTGTACTGTTTTCTTTGATTTTATTAGGCAAAAAAGCTCCTGTTTTATTTAGTAAAGAAATGATCGAGTCAATGAAGGAAGGTTCAGTTGTTGTGGATTTAGCTGCAGAGGCTGGTGGAAATTTTGAAACCACTAAGCCAGGAGAACTTTATATTCATAAGGTATAGTAAAATAAATCTTCTGCCTATGAATCAATTCTTATATCTTTAGTGATTTGCAGTGTTTTTCTTTTAGTTTTTTCAGTGCTGGGGATTGAACCCACGGCCTCATGCATACTAGGAAAGAGCTATACTACTGAGCTATATCCTTAGCTCCCTGTGAGGATGTGTGTATATGTTTATTCCTATAAGTATATGGAGAAATTGAGGCCTGAAACTTTTAAAAATTAAAACTAGACATGGTTAAAGATTCCTTTGAAATACTATATTTATGTTTGTATGTGTGTATATCTATAAAGACATGTAATTTCTATACTTAGCACTCAATGTGAATGAGAATTGCCCTAGAGAGAATGGGAACTTAGCAGAGTAAACGTTTTTGACTACGTATTTTTTTCATTTAGGGAATTACTCACATAGGCTACACAGACCTCCCCAGCCGAATGGCCACTCAGGCCAGCACTCTGTATTCCAATAACATCACCAAACTCCTGAAGGCCATCAGCCCTGACAAGGATAATTTTTATTTTGAAGTGAAAGATGACTTTGACTTTGGTACAATGGGTCATGTCACTAGAGGAACTGCAGTGATGAAGGTAAGTAAAGATATCTTTTTCTTCCTGTGGTTTTAAATGTATATTTGTTTTACGATTTCTGTTCATGGAAGATTCTGTTTTGGAGTAGAGATATAGTCTAGTAAAGCATTTATATGCCATATTTATGCCAATTAAAATTGTTTAAGAATGTAGAATGACTTAAAGAAAAATATTTCAAAATCTTAAGCATGTACAACTCACTGAAAATACACATTGCTTTAAAAAACCAGAAACGAACAGAAGTTGAATAAAATAAAAATGAAATGTTCTTCCCACATATCTGCTTTTAAAGGTTTGGTTTATATTCTTCTATATATGCCACAGGCAATACAGATTATGTATCTGTGTATATAGCAAAAACTACACATTTATATATCTTATAAATCACATGAATTTATATATTTATATAAAATTATATAGTTTTTTTCAACATAAGCTGTCTTTTGTTCTGAGATGCTAATTCAACTTAAAAAAACCTATTTTCTCCTCTCTATTAGGATGGCAATGTGATTTTCCCAGCCCCCACACCAAAAAATATTCCTCAAGATGCTCCAGTAAAACAGAAGACAGTGGCTGAGCTGGACGCTGAAAAAGCAGCTGCCATCACTCCATTTAGGAAGACGATGACTACGTCATCTGTGTGTGCAGCTGGTGAGGACCCTATGCATCACACTTAGTCTGGATTGCTTGGATTTTGTTTATAACGTACTATTCGCCAAAACTAGCAAATGAAATGCAGTTGCTCTTCTTTGGATTCTATTAGTAATTGAGTCTGATAGACCTGACTTTTATCTATGTTGCTTGTCCCATCTCTGAGGAGTCTAAGATTGCATTGACTATCCCAAGTGACACAGGTGCTATGTGAAATATGGGTGAAATACGTCACAGGCTGTTAATACTTTCCCTTTTATAGAAAACATTTTACATGTAGTCAGTAATCTTATCTGTGTCACATATGTTGAATTGTGACAAATGTCAGATGATGCTGGCATTAAATACATATAAGTGTATTTAAGGGCTTTGTGTTCTGTAAACATCAGCCATGATTATCTGTACATCTGGATAAAAGTGGGGAGCCAAATGTTTTGCCTTGACGAATAATCACTACAAGGTGAGGAATAGCCCTGCAATGTTCAACTAACACTTGAAGTTATTCACCTAGTAAAAAAAATTCAGTATTTTAATTTTGGTCTCTTTCTTTACAATTTATCATAAGTTCTTGACTTTCCAATTCATCTTTGTGAAAACACTGAAGAATTATTGTAAAATAGTGAGGAATATTCATTCTGGTTCTTCATTGTTAGAAGCTGAAAAATATGTGTATTTGATTTTAAATTGGTTTCTCTCTCATAGAGTGAATTTAAAATGTTTAGATATACTTAGTGCCAAAATAAAAACAACACAAAACAAAAAAGCAAGCTATCAAGAATTAAAGGGACCAGCATTAGGCACACAGAATTCTTGTAGCCTCAGCATTCTCCAAATTCCCATGTGAGTCCAGATGTTATGAAGCTAAATGTGTAACTCTCCTTGGATAAAGAGCAAATCTCAGCAAAATGAGCAAAAAAAAAAAAAAAGCTTCTGGTTGTGAATGTTGTGACTACAGGGGTCAGTGTCCCTACTTGCACTCATTCATTAAGAAAAAAATCCAAAAAACTAGATCATTGTATTGTACATAGAGAGTTTTTTGGGTTGAATTATGAATTTCCATTTCTCTTTGAGATTCATAAGAAAATACATCGAGGCATATATGATGATTTATTTTTCTAGGCTTCTTTTATATCTGTTTACTCAAGATATTTTGCCTTCTAATAGGTTATTACACAGTTGATAAGAAAACTTTCACATGTGTATTTTGACTCATATCTTTGATGCTCACAGAAGACTGTGGATTATGATAATTTAGTGCTTCCTACGAGTGTGATCAGAATTATAAGTAACATTTAGTGAGTGCTAGGTGTTTAGCTGCATGTGCCTTTGTTCATTTATTCCTTATAAGAATTTAATAAGGTGGGTATTACTATATTCTTTTTCAGATGAAGTCCAAGAGGGCTAATAATTGGATGGATGAGGACACCAAAGCACAGAGGGGTTAAATAATTTGCCCAAGATCACACAGGTAGCAAGCAGCAAAATGAGGATATTAAGCGGGCAATCTGACCTAAGAAAGCATAATTAGCCACAACCCTATCCAGCCTCTCTGATTTTTCAGTGAAAGGCAAAACATTTTATCTGATTCTCCCTCTGGAAGGTTAACGGGCCATATATTAGAACTTTGGAGATATTGTTTGTGGTAGGAAAATATAAACTAAAACTTTAGTCTTATTGCCAGGCGCCTGTGGTTCACTGCAATAATTCTAGCTACTCTGGAGGCAGAGATCAGGAGGATCAAGGTTTGAAGCCAGCCCAGGCAAATAGCTTGTGAGACCCTATCTCAAAAAACCCTACACAGAAAAGGGCTGGTGGAGTGGCTCAAGGTGTAGGCTTTGAGTTTAAACCCTAGTACTGCAACTCCCCCCAAACAAGAACAAAAACAAAAACTTTAATCTTATTGAATGATTTAAAGTAAAACTGATGTCAATTTATAGATGGTTTAGCCATGCTATTGGTAAGTAATAGTTCTTACCAAGGGAAAAAAGCTCCTTATTCAGGGATGTTAAATTCCAGCTCCCCTGTAACTGATTGTCTTTTTGTTTTTAACTGACCACTAGGTAACCCTTTCTCTTGTTGCAGAACAGCTGTCCACATGTTTGTTATTAAAGAAGGCGATAATTAAAGATGTATGTTCAGAGCTGACTGTTTGTATTCTGCACATTCTTAATTTAATTTGTATTTTTTTTCTTTCCTTTGTAAAACCTTGTTTGCTGACTTGGTGTTGAGGCTGGAGCTGACTGCCCTAGCCAGCAGTACAGTCCAGAGTCAGGAGCAATTGCAAAACTTTTGTCCTGGGTGGGTGGAAGCCATATGTTTTGGGGAGGTACTGCAGTGAATGAAATCCTTCCTACTCTTTTAAAATCCCTCTTCCTCAGCCAAATCGAAGAGTGACATAAAATTGGCCTCATAAAAGTCCTGTCTTGTAAAGATTATGTCTTGCCTAAGTAGAAAGTGCTTTGTAGCTTCTCTATAGGCCTATAATTCTAGAATAAAAATGCTTGTGTAAACACATGTGGTATTATAAATGAAAGTTAAAACAGGGAAGAGGACAAAAGCTATGCAGAGGAAATTGTGCAAATTGTTATTAAGGTGACATAAATATTATTGGATCTTTATAATTTAATTGGGGAGGAGTGGTCAGAGAGTTGGGTTTTATGCATAATATCTCTCTGTCTTCCCTACTTCTCAATTGTCACATGTCTAAAACAATGTGCTTATTACTTGTGGGGATGTAGAATTGTAACATTGACTGTTTATAACAATTGACATGTTTGTGTGCTTTTGATCTTACAGAGATTATTAGACGTCATCTCACACTCTTTGCTCTTTCTCTAGGTCTCACTGGGATGCTGGGTTTGGGTCTTGTGGCTCCCAACTTAGCCTTTTCTCAGATGGTAACCACTTTTGGCCTGGCTGGCATTGTGGGGTACCATACTGTCTGGGGAGTGACCCCCGCTCTCCACTCACCACTGATGTCTGTGACTAATGCGATCTCAGGTTTGTTCTTTCTTTGCATCATTTTAGGCTTTCATAGGCATCTAGGTGTGCTTTCAATGAGGTTTATAAAGTCTGTGCATTTAAACCTCTTTGCTTGGTAGTTGAGGCAGTTTGTTGTGATGACTCACAGATTCTGAAAGAGTGGTGGGCTTGTGAAGTCAGAGGCCATGGGAACAGGTCAGACCTTTGGGCTGTTCCCATTTCAACAGTGTGGATCCATCGGTATTTCTTTCATTATGGTTTCCTTTAAGGAAAGGATTCCACTGATGAAATCTGAAAGCCAGTGTTTCACAAAATCTGTTACGGTCTGTTCTTAGAATTAGCTAAACATTCAACCTAGCAAGGCTACAGTAGGCCACATGTGGCATTGGTTCACAGTGATGCTTGGGACAGGATCTGGTTTGTTAGGAGGAGAGCATCAGGCATTTCTCTTTGGTGTGAGTCTTCACATCAGCCCATGTAGCAGTCCACATGGTTGCCTAGGGGCTATTTTCTTTGGTCCCCAGTGATGGCTCAGATATGAAAGAATGAGTTCCACACTGGATAGGCACCAGGGTGCTTGGTCATCTCTGATAACATTGTCTTAGGCATAGCTTCCAGAATTTCTGCAGGGAACATATCCAGTTTCAAGAGGCACTTTACTCAGGGCAGCTCAAAACTATAGCATCTCTCTCAGGTATTTATAGTTCATATTTAGTTCTTTCTAGTACAGTTACAAAGTATCCACCTGCAGTTACTTTTCTCCATAAGCAATGTTGTCTAGTAATATAGACACATAGAAAGATAGATAGATAGATAGATAGATAAATAGGTAGATAGATAGATAGATAGATGCTCTGCCATTTTAGCCATGCTTCCTGTCTGATTTATAGCTTTATCAGGTGAGCAGAGCTAGAAAGTTAAAGGAAGTTTAGAGTCTTATGCAAAAGGAGGAAAGATTTTGTTAACCTTTTGCCTGCAATAATGCTTCAAAAGAGAAAAGTAGGAAGGTGTGCTGTCAACAGTCTTCATCAAGAAAATTTTTTATGTTATTTTAATGAATGTGCCAGAAAGCTGCCTTTTTTTCTTTTTTTTTTTTTGATATTGAGAACTTTCCTCTTTGTGAATCCATGTGTCCTCAGCTATGACATTTGATTTGGATGTGTCACTACAGTTATTTACCATGTTGATGCTTTCTTTTTAGGGTTGACTGCAGTTGGTGGGTTGGCACTGATGGGAGGACATTTGTATCCTTCTACAACTTCTCAGGGTCTTGCTGCTCTTGCTACATTCATATCCTCAATCAACATTGCAGGTAAGTTATGATAACAATGAAAGAACTCAGAGTGCTTTTTTTTTTTTTCCTTTACTGGGGTTTGGCTCAGAGGCCTTTTGCTTGCAAGGCAGGTGCGCTACCACTTGAGCTATTCCTCCACCCCTACCAGAGTGCTGTTTTGTTTTAAAATTTTTATTTATTTGTCTGTGGGTCTGGGGTTTGAACTCAGGGCTTTGCATTTGCCAAGCAGGGGCTCTTCTGCTTGAGCTATGCCTCCTGCGCATTTTTACTCTGGTTATTTTGGAGATGGGGTTTCCCCAGGATTGGCCTTGAACCACGATCCTCTCAACCTCAGCCTCCCAAGTAGTTAGGATTATAGGCCTGAGCCACTCCTCCAGCCCTACCAGAATACTATTTTTAATGGAGACATAGGAAGCAAATCTAAATTGGTATAAAGTAGACATATAATTTTAAGAATTATACTTTTAAAAGATACTTCACTCAGATTATAAATGTTCTTCATGAAGGAAAATTAAATATTTCTGCCCATCTGTAAGTGTTAGGAACTCTATTGATAAAAGAACAACTACCCCCCACAACCCTAAACAAACATAATGATGTCTTGCTGTGAGTTAACTGGAAAACTATCAGATGCATAATTTGAGTTATGTTGACTTAGCACTATCAGCATGACATCTATAAATGAATATAATTTTAGATAAAATTGGCCTATCACAGCCAATGTTTGTTCCTGAAAACCGAAAGCCTAGCATATCATTCATGTATGAGACTTATTTATTTGATGCTGTTTTGTAGCTAAAAATTCTAAAAGCTGTTCAAGAAACCTGGTGCCTTGTTAATATGGTATTTTTTCTTTATCATTTATTACCGAATTTGAGAAATGGAATAACCTATTAGAACAAATATTGACCTTTAATCTCCTGGATGTTCAAGCTTTTTGAGTGGCTGTTTACTTTTAGTCTTGCAGAAATGGTTGGTTTTGCATCCTGATAGCAAGTTTTCTTCCTGAACATAGTTAGAGTTTTTGCTTTTTCTTCTCACATAATGGAACTGACTTGAATAGTAGAATAACCTTTGTTTTTGAGGTTCTAAAAATGCTTAAGTTATATTTATTCCTAGGTAATAAAGATATGCTTCAAATAGAAAAATTTGTAGCACTTAAAAAAAAATCACACTGCTCAACGATCCCTTTCTCTTTTATGTTTCACTCATTTCATTGTTTTGAAAAGGTGGATTTCTGGTGACTCAGAGAATGCTGGACATGTTCAAGCGCCCCACGGATCCCCCAGAGTACAATTACCTGTATCTGCTTCCTGCTGGTACCTTTGTGGGTGGATATCTATCTGCCCTCTACAGTGGTTATAACATTGAACAAGTAAGAGGCCTTTTGAAAATTTTATTTTTACCACTGTTATATTTAACATTAGTACCAAAATTCAAACTATCAAGATAGCTATTGAACAATAGAGGAGCAGAGCAATAGAGAAAGAGTAAGTAATAGAGGGGGTTAATTTGATTAATGTACAATATATATGTATGTGAAATACCATGGCAAAACCCCATTTAACAATCAATATACATTTAAAAAATGAAGGACAGGAAGGTAAAACAGATCCTGTTTTGGGGAGAGTGGATATCAGTGGGAGGGGTAGGGTGCATGGAGAGGGTGAAGGAGGGTGAAAATGGTCAATGTACTTTGTATACATGTATGAAAATAGAACAATGAAATTGTTGAAAGTGTGTTAAGAACTGGGGGAGAGGAATGAGGGAGAACATTGGAGTGGTGAATCTAATTAAGGTACATTGTAAGCACATGTGTAAATGTTACAATGAAACCCCTCCTGAACAAGTAATATATGCTAATAAAAATGGAAAAAAATAGGAAAGAAAATACAACGCTATCAAGCAAGTACAGTAATAACCCTGGAAGCTTCTTGTTCAAACAGAGCATTCCAATTCCCTTGGGTTAGGGCTCTGGATTCTAGAGACAGAACTGCCTGCTAGCATGGGTTTGCCTGTTTGTTTCTAAGTTTTTTACATGTAAAAAGAATTAAGAAGGTATCAGTACCTTTTTTATGTACCTGACTGGATTGTTATAAGGATACTATTAGTCCCCTTTCTACTTTCTTCCTCTGTAAATCTAGCACATCATCTCTTATACCAAGAGATGTTATGCCAATTCATTTAAAAGAGATAATTTAAAAAATGTTGTGTAAGAGAGAGAGAGAGAGTCAAGTTGAACTTTGAAAGTTCCCAGCCGAAATATAATAGATCTTTAACTTTGGTCTGAACTCTGTATTTTCCACTTCTTTCCAGTAACTATCACTGGATTGCAACCTCTCTGACAGCAGAAAAATCATGTCTCTCTTGGTTTCTTCTGCGTTCCCAACAAGAGGTATTACTTCAATAACAAAAATTTTGGAGAAGAGTTGAAGCAGGGAGTTAGCGAGACCTGTCTTAACTTCCAGATTGTTATTTACTGATCGTTTACCTTGGAGAAATTATGTGATCTCGTTAAGCTTTGATTTTTCTCCTTTGTAAATTGAGGATAATGGTTCTTTCCTCATATGGATCTCATGAGAGTAAGTTACAGTGTAAGTGAAGTATATGCACAGTTCCTGGCACCTATGATGTCAGGGATTGGCTATTTTGTAGCATTTGGTCAGGTTTAATATTTTCAGATTAACAGTAATTCCATTTACGTTTGGTACTTTTATGTGTATTTTGTGCATAGTATCAAATTTAGAAGAAATTAATTTACATAAATAATATAATTGCAAGTATAATTTAAAGTACTTAATATGTAATATTCCTAATGGATAGGGAAATATATTGAAATAGTAAAATAAGAGCTCAGGTCTGTCCCTCTATTATTTGAACTTAAATTATCCTTAGAGAATCATGTTCTATAAAAGAGGTCCTTTTTAAACTAATAACTAAAGGGTTTAATAACATCTGTCTTCCCTTTCCTTTGAAAAGATCATGTACCTAGGCTCTGGCTTGTGCTGTGTCGGTGCCCTGGCTGGCCTTTCCTCTCAGGGAACAGCTCGTCTTGGTAATGCATTGGGCATGATTGGGGTTGCTGGAGGCCTGGCAGCTACACTTGGAGGCCTAAAACCGGATCCAGAATTGTTAGCTCAGATGTCTGGAGCAATGGCTTTGGGTGGTACCATTGGTAAGCACTTGTGGGCTTCAACTTTCATGTGAACCCATATCTTTTGTACACCTGAAGGCAGTTGAACTCAGAAATTTAAGAGTATAATCAGGTATTGCTTAACAGTGAGGATACATTTTGAGGAATGCTTCCTTAGGCAATTTCATCTTTGTGCAAACAGCATAGAGTGTTTGCATATCCTTATCCAAACCTAGATGGCATAGCCTACTATACTTCTGTGCTATGTGATATAACCTATTGTTTCTAGGCTACAAATCTTTATAGCATATTTCTTTTTTTTTATTCATGTTTATAGCATATTTCTGAACTACATATAGTATGTAGTTGCAACACATTTGCAAATATTTTTATATCTAAACATAGAAAATGTGTAGTAAAAATACCAAGCAATAGGAATGTTTCTTCTCCATCTGTACTGTAGAACCTGTTTTTATGCTCTTTGTTGACGGAAGCATTGTTACGAGGCACATGGTTGTCCTGTTAGGAAGCTTTTCTTTGTTAGGAGTTGGTCCTTTTACTAGTAATTCAGTTTCTGAGTTAAGGCTCATATTGATGAGGGGATTAATTGCCTTCATGGCAGTTGCTTCAATAAATATTATCATATTTATCATTCTCACCCAAATGTTTTAAAACATTTTCTAAAATTATCAACTAAGTTGAAGACAGGGCTAATATTCCACCTGGTGCTCAGCGCTTATTTTCCTTTATTGACTGTGCCCAGTAAGTTGATAATAGGAAGGGGGATTAGAATATCTTTACCATAGATGGGCTTATCCTTTGTTCTGCTATTTATAAATCACAGCAGAAGATTTTGCTTTATAAATCTGCTAAAAGATCGAGAAGCACATGGTGAACAGAGAAACCACTGTTTTAATCTTGTTCAGTGGTGGGCTGGGGCTGTTGTTAAGTTTTCAGGAATTGTGTGAGCTGTTTTATAAGCATACCTGTTATTAAAAATTAAATTGCATAAGCTAAGTAATCATATTAAAAGCAAAGATAATAATACTAAAACACATACCATTTTAATGAATTTACTAGACTTTATTTACTATGCCCTTTAGGTTATTTATAATCTATGGTACATGAATAGTGGAAAAGCTATGCAGTAGTGGGCTACTGTGAATTTCTTCCCAATTCCTCATTCAATGACACCACATTGGCAGGTTGCATTTATCCTGGGTAGAAGTATTTATACCATGAAAATAAAACACATGCTACAAATCTGGGCTTGATTTATTGTTTTATTTCTTATCCAGACCTAAGAAAGAGATGGAAAAATATTAAAAATGCAACTGATGCTTAAAATATGTGAGGGCTATAGTCATATTGTGAATAGCCTAAAAATTGAACAAATAGTATCCTTTTATTTGCAAACTGTTATCAGATTCAGTGAAGAAGTATCTTACATGATTGACAAACGGGTGAAATCCTCACATACATCTTACATGTATACATGCCATAAACATAATATTTTACTTTTGTCATACTTGTTAATGAAAGCAAAAGTATTAAGTTTTTAGGTAGGAAGTTTTTATGTATGCTTGTTTATCAGTTGCAAACACTAGGTTGGCTACAAGTACAAGAGTTGTTTAGCAAAAGTCAATAAAAGTATTTATGAAAGTCGGTAATCTATATGGAACTTGGAATAAAGGATATTGTATATTTTATTATTTAAAAGTTATGTGCCTATTCCTTTATATCAGACTCATGTATTTATATCCACACAGTTTTTTCCCCTATGAACTGGTTGTTGAATATTTTCTGGCACAGTGTTAGCTTTAGGCTTCCTTTTATACTTCCCCAGGGAAGTTTTGAGTTCTTTCTTTACAATTCCTAGGAAGGCATTTGAAGGAAAATGACTGTGCTGTAAGTTCATGGTGGGAAATTCTTTAGACATGATCTTAGTGTGTACTCTGAGCTCCACTCCTTCTATTGACTTACCTATAGCTGAGAAACCCCTTCAGACTCTCCTAATTTGGGCATTCACTGCCCAGAGTTTTGCATTGCTTCACTTTTGGACTTGGCTCTCACCCACCCACTTTCCATCTATTTTTTATGTGCTTGGGAGCAAGCATTTGCTTTAGTAGAGAAGTAGGCCTGGAATATTCTTTCAGTAGGGATAATATAAAGGGATCTAAGTAGAGCTTTAGGTAATTTGAAGAAACTCTCAGCTAGGAGAATGTTTGGAGTTTGTGAAAGGAAGAAGCATATGTTGCATTATTTGGAGTTGGGCCTTCATTAGGTGTGTTGAGAAAACCAACTATTTTGAAACAGCATAGATATGTAGCCAATGTCTTTACCTTCTGTACAGCCTCTGTAGAGAATATTTGGCCCCTACTGGGAACTATGTAATATTTATTGGTGCCACTGATGGAAACTCTATGTGTGATTTGTTGTTACTGCTTCTCAAAGGCCTGTTGTTTTAATTTCACTTTGACCTTTGTTTTCCAATAGGATTGACGATTGCCAAACGCATCCAGATTTCTGATTTACCTCAGTTAGTTGCTGCTTTCCACAGTTTAGTGGGATTAGCAGCTGTACTTACTTGTATAGCTGAGTACATCATAGAGTATCCACATTTTGCTATGGATGCTACAGCAAATCTCACCAAGATTGTTGCCTACCTTGGCACTTACATTGGTGGAGTCACCTTTAGTGGGTCTCTTGTTGCCTATGGAAAATTACAGGGTAAGTGATTCAACGTGATGAAGAGGTAAATATCTATTAACGGGTCCATTTCAATTTCATAAAGCACCTTCCCAATAGAAGCTGTTAGGTAAAGAGTGTTACATAATACTCAGAGATATATAAAAGATCCCCCCCCCATAAAGATGGTTCCTTTTTATTGATTCTTAACGATTGCCAAGGTTTTGTAGCTATTTCTTCTGCAGACAGCTAATAGAGGAAATTTAGAACACAGACATTTGTGTAGGACTGGTTGACATTTGCTGATACATGTGACAAAGTAACATCTTCATGATCTTTGCTTAGAAATGTCTATGTAGAGTTCACATAAATGAACTTTATATACATCCTAGAATAGAGAGAAGCTTATTGAGTAAGTTCGTGTGATTTGTAAGTCATATTCATTCTGAAAACAAATATGTATTTTTAGGGTTCTACCACAGCAACTTTTGCTACTACTGTGGTGAATCATGAAAATGGAAGTGGAGGAAAAATCCAGAAAGGCTGTTTTCAGAAACAAATGAATCCCCAGAGAAACTAGATGGTGATCAAAAAATCTGGTCTTGCCTCTCAGTAATAAAGTCATTAAGTGGGAAACTTCCATGAAACTTAACAAACATAAAAGAACTTCAAGCCTAAAACATTTTTGTCATTTCTTTAGAAGAAACTAACTACAAAGGATTTTCTCCTTTGGGCTCAGATGATATAATCAGAAATGCTAATGTACCAGGACCTGTATTGAAGTTTTAAATAAATAAAACCACACTTAACAACTTCTGTGTTGGTATTGGAGGAGGGGGAATAACTTTTTTAAGATTCCATGACAGAGTAAAGAAATAATGTGTCAAAGCAGGGAAAAGAACAGTTAAGTTGAACCAAACTTTTCCTGTCTCCATTAATGTTTGTTACGTGTAATAACTCATTCTTTGTTGTTTCATATCTAGTGATATAAAGTGAGAGTTTATATGTCATGTTTTTATTATAATACTAAATTTTGAAGTTTGGAATTAAATGACATACTCTTGAGTGTATGTATGAGGGGGTTTTGTACAACATAGCCTGGATTTTGATTACCATGTGCTTTGGTCTAGGTATCCTGAAGTCTGCACCTCTCCTACTACCTGGAAGGCACTTACTTAATGCAGGCTTGCTGGCTGCTAGTGTGGGTGGGATAATCCCATTTATGGTGGACCCCAGCTTTACCACTGGCATTACCTGTCTGGGCTCTGTGTCAGCTCTCTCTGCTGTCATGGTAAGAAGAAGCTAGAGATGGAAAAGCACATACCAAGCAAGGAACTGGGAATATTTTGTTAGATTACAATCTAATTATATTTTTATCTCTTCCAGACCCCTGTTTTAAAATGTTTTTACATATTCATCTCTTTAGAATTTAGAGAATACAGAAGAAGATATGAAGAAAATCAATTTCTCTTAACCGATTGTTTAAAAGTTGTCACGTGACATCTTGTTTTGCTTGGACTGGATGAATGTGTTGGTGAATAGGAGTTTAAAAGAGTCAAGAGTGTCCACTTCATTAACTACGTCTACAAAAATAGTGTTTGGAGTTTGATATTACATATAAGATAGCCACTGCCCATTAATTGCTCTCGCATTCATTGGAAGATAGAGTACCAAATCAAATTATTATATAAAATAAAGTGCAGTTAATAAACACCATGTGCCCAGTGAAGGAGTTCAGCCTTTCATTATAGGCTTGATGTTCCTCTAATTTTTGCATGTAGTGTATTGATATGTAACAGTTTTTTAAATTTCTTTTATTCATATGTGCATACAACGTTTGGGTCATTTCTCCCCTCTTCCCCTTGCCCCCTTCCTTTCCCTCGCCTCCTCCCTCTTCACTCCTACCCCCTCGCTACCAGGCAGAAACTATTTTGCCCTTATCTCTAATTTTGTTGAAGAGAGAGTATAAGCAATAATAGGAAGGACCAAGAGTTTTTGTTAGTTGAGATAAGGATAGCTATACAGGGAGTTTACTTGCATTGCTTTCCTGTACATATGTGTGTAACAGTATTTTTTGTTGTCTGTATATTATAGATAACATTTTATTATATCAGTGTTTAGCATTTTATTGTATCAGTGTAAGATGTTATATGCAATTCTGTGTTGTTCACTGATTTCTTTATGTTCTTTCTACACTGATATATACTATGTATACAGAGTTTAATTTTTATACTTAAAATATAGTATATAGTAATCATAGTAATTGCTTATTAAACACTTGCTGACTCCTTGATTCAGCAACTCAAGACTTACAGTACAAAAATGATACTTATTTTCAGGCAGTTCTGAGTTAGTTCATGATTTTAATACAGAAATTTTAGAACCCTGAAAAATAACTTAAGATTCCATCTTAATGTGAATACTGATCCAATTTCTTCTCTTACATAATAAGAGAACTATATCATTCTCTTATATAGTAATGATTTTTGTCTTATTTATTTTAAACAATAGAAAAATGTTTTCATATTTCTAATCAAATAAGGCAGAAGAGCTTAAAAGTCGCAAAATCAAACATGTAGTACAGACATGTAAAACTTTAGGAATTATTTTTTAAGAAATGGTGATATGATATTTGAAAGATTCTTTTATGGAACTTGGGGAAGGAGGGAAAGGAAAATGATAGCACATCAGTAATATTGCATAACATAAGATGTGAAGGTAGAGGATATAAGGATGTGTATTGAAGGCTGTTGAAAAATGGGGGGGGATGTGGGAGGTAAAGGGGTAAGTGAGAGTAATGGAAGGGGTTGAACCAGACCAAAGTAAAGTACACTCACAGTGGGCATACATTGAAGCACGCCTTTGAACATCAGCTTAAATATTAATAACGAAAACCAGGAATGTAAAACAGGCAGTGTGTGCAGGGGTGGGGAGACTAGTGGTAGTGGGAAGGTGAAAGAAAGAGATTAAGGTGATGGTAGATGGACTTCATACATCTATATGAAACAGAACTAAGAAACCTTTTGCCATTGCTTTAATTCACTTTGTGTCAATACATTTTTCCAAAGACTGGTCTTCAGTTTCTGCTTGTTTGTTCACCATTGCTTTTATTTGGGAAAATTTTGCTTGGAGGGGATAGTTGCTCAGTGGTTACAGTTGTTACATCTGTGATACAGTTGGTCTGATAGAAGATGTGGTCATTACCAGAAGTGGATCATATATGAAACTATCCTAATTGGAAAACTGAAATGATTAAGAACCAAGACACTAAATGTCAGAGGTTTTATGTCTGTATTATTAATTTTGAGTTCTGCTTTGGTTTTTGTGCTAGGGTGTGACTTTGACAGCTGCTATTGGGGGTGCGGACATGCCTGTTGTCATCACTGTACTGAACAGCTACTCAGGCTGGGCTCTGTGTGCAGAGGGCTTCCTGCTTAACAACAACCTGCTGACCATCGTGGGCGCACTCATTGGCTCCTCTGGTGCTATACTGTCATACATCATGTGTGTGGTAAGAAACACGTGCAGAAGAAAAGAAACTGACTTTCTAGACGTGTGGATGTGCTTGCCATTTATTCTCAGTAAAAATGAATCTACAGGTTCTATTTTAAACAGAAATACCAGATTTTTTATTGGAATACATTTCTGTTTTTAAAGTACTCAACTGTAGATAATTGGGGAAATTAAGAATAAGGATAAAAATCTAATGTTTTTCTCCACTTGTAGATAAACATAAGATTTTGGTTGTTTTTTTCCATTCTTTTTCTTTGTGTATTAACGCATCTATGTATTTATCTGTCTGATCGTATTGTGCTTTTTCCATTCAGGTTTTTTTTTAAATTTTTTTGAGACAGGGTTTTGCTGTGTGGCCTGGAACTTGTGACACTCCTGCCTCAGCCTCCCAAGTACTGGGAAGCTGGGATTGCAGGCATGTGCTATCACACCCAGCTTTACTTCAGATTTTTAAAATCTTACATATGATAGTCCCAACTTTTTTAACCATTAAAATGTTTTAAAATATTATTTTAAGAAGCTTTACAGTAATCCACCCTGTGGATGTACAAAATTCATTTACTTTTCACCCAGTGCTATTCATTTTAGGTTGTTTGATTTTTTTTTTTTTTTTGCCTCCCTTTATACATAAGCATATTTTTGGCAGTTTGGGTTCTGACTTTTGTCTTTAGATAGATTCTTAGAAGTGAAAGGTGTGCTCTTTTTTAATAAGGCCTTTTATACTTACTGCCATGTTTCCCAAAAGCTTGTTCTACTTTACATTCCTGCTAGTAGCTATGAGAATACTTATTTTGAAGTTTTATGGTCAGCATGATTTAAAAAAAGAAACCAGAACAGAAAAAAGTAACACCATAAATACTTCCTAGCTTTCTTTTAATTTCTGTTCTCTTCTTGATGGCAAGAAGATAACCTGACAGTAATTTAGGGTTCACTACAGAAAAGTTCAAATTACAGATAATATTCTCTACACAATAGTTTTGGATGACTGTTAAAGAACAAGTATGCAACTAAGTAGATATGAATATGATTTTACACTGAAAAATAATTTAGATAGAAAAGACATACTAATCTACCTTCGTTGCTATTTCAATTAAAAAAAATCCCTGTACTTTATAGCTCAGCATTTTCCTTGTTTTAATCTAAAAATCTTATTATAATTTAAATGCTGAGGCTATCTTTTTATAATAAAAATATTTTTGTTTCCTTGACTATATTCTAATACAAAGGATTTGGTAGCTCAAATTCAAAACAAGCTAAGAAATTTTTAAATTAAATTACCCAGCTTGTTTAGCGAATTTGGAAAGGGGAAAGCTTGTGTATCCTGTTTTAAAATTGTCAAGCTTTTGGGTATTTAAAATATGAATATTTTTAAAGAAGAAAAAATGTATTCAATTGTTTAGAAATGCAGTTTTCTCTAAAAATGAACTCTTAACCCTTGGTTTGACTACTTCATTTGGAGATTTTTGAATGACCAGCAGGGGGCAGCAGATTTTCATTATTACTTAAACTCGTGGTTTGCCAGGAAACTCATTTTAAAATTAAGCAAGAAAATGTGAACTTTCTCAAAGTTAGTGTTGTACTGATATAGGGAGGAAAAGGAAACTTGTACCATGTCATCATGGTGGCTTCTCACTTAAATTTTTTCATTCACATACAGTAAGTGTACCTTGTGATATTAACATACATGCATACAGTGTATTGTGATCAAATTTACCCCATCTGTATTCCTCTTTCTTAACTCTCTTCCATCCCCCATTTTAAAGTTTTGAGTGGATTTCATTGTGCTATATGTAATGTACTTCAGCCATATTCATCCCATCACCCTCTCCTTTCCCTGCCCTTTCTTTTCTTCCCCCCCACCCCACAGTTCCCCTTTTATAAGCATGTCCTATTACTGTTATTTTAGGTCTAGACTTCATATATGAGTGAAAACGTGATGTTTGTCTTTCCGAACTTGGCTTATCTAGCTGAACATGGTGATTCCAGTTCCTCTGTTTTCCTGTCAATGCTATAATTTCATTCT